CTTTTTAACCCCTTAAAGACCAGTGACAAGCCAAGATTTATGGGGGGCAGGGAGGGGGGGGGGGGTTAAATATAAATGAAAACCTGAAAAGTCATAATTTGTTTTAACCTTTTGAAAGAACTGTTATCACTTGAGCCTACAACAGGTGAAAAGCAATGATTTGAAGATGCAAAAATATCCTCAATAGTTCAGCCATTAGTATGGACAGTATATTGACATGTGTATGCAATTGTGATTTCTGATGAGAACTTTGTTTAATCATTGTTATAGCTACTGTTTAGAAAGATTCCTTATCTGTTTTTCTTTTTAGGGTGGCAAGTTCCACATCGTTCCTTTTATGGTAAATAATATTTTAATTATATAAAATAATAAAAATTAAAACTAAAAAAATACATATGTATATTATTCAGCAGACTATGCAATAGTTAAGTTTTGCGATTGTAATATTATGTGCATTGATTTGTTTGAAATGTGTTGTAAAAAAATTAATAGGTAGATATAAAGAGAATATAGCATAATACAAACATAAAGGCGCAAAATCAACAATTACATTAAAATGAATAAGAAAAGAGGATTGTCCTTCACAAATAATCTTGCATTCTAATGGTGTTAATTGAAAATGATGTGTTACTGTTTGCTCGATGATTGTTTTAAGGGTACTTAAGACTCCCATTTGTATATTTGTTTGCACTCTGGGGACTGTAAGAAGAAAAAGATAGGGGAAGACAAGTGATGCTTATTTTTTTTCAGAGGTTCAACAACATAACTCAAAGCAGAAAGCAGGCAGTTGTAATTCATACTGAGTTCTAGGCTTTGTGTGATGAAGGCGACGGATCGCTGCCTTGGAGATTGCTTTGCTGCACTCCAAGAAGCAGATTTGAAACTGTTGTGGACCACTTTAGATGAGAGTTGGATTATGGAATGACCTGCAGCGTCTGTGTCATATTGTTCTGCACAGGGTGCATTATGCTTTGCTAACTAGGTGTTCAGCACCAAATAAGAGAGGTATCCTAGATGTGATCTGCCAGCTGTATCTCATATTTTTAGATTGAGGAGAAAAAAAAGACCTGAAACTGGTATTGTAAAGATAGAATTGCTGCTTATACAGCATTATTAACCAAGCCATGTGGTGTATGTAATGTTTAATGCAGGAGCAATTTGTTGCAAATAACAATATTTTCGTATTTTCTTATTTTTTTTAACACACATACTAGTGTAATAGAAATACTTTTTATATTGATTTAATGTTTTTAAATAAAGAAATAATATTGTTTTTAACAAATCAAACAAATAATTTTAATGCTTTCCTCTTATCTGTTTTATATTTTTTTGTGTTAGGCTTGAAGATGCAGTGGACGCCGGAGCATGCACAGTGGCCAGAACAGCACTTCGATATAACTTCAACTACACGGTCACCGGCTCACAAAGTTGAAGCGTACCGTGGCCACCTGCAACGTACCTACCAGTATGCGTGGGCTAATGATGATATCTCTGCTCTGACTGCGTCTAACCTGCTTAAGAAATATGCAGAAAAATATTCGGGAATCTTGGATGGCTCTATGGAAAGACCTATCCTGAGTAATTACACCGAAGCTCAATCTGGCCTAGTAAATGGACGAAAAAGCGAAAGCGATTCTTGGCAGAGCTCTTTAAATTCTGACAGTGTTTATCCTATGAACTGTGTAACTGATGTCATTACAGCTAGCAAAGCTGGGGTGGGTGCTACTATTCCACCATCAGATGTTTCTGCTAGCATTGGCAGTTCCCCAGGGGTGGCCAGCAACCTGACAGAACCTAATTATTCTAACAGTACATGTGGAGGTCACACAGTACCTAGTCTTCATTCAGGTCTACCATCTCAGGAATATGCCACTGGATATAATGGTTCCTACTTGCATACGACTTACAGCAGCCAATCTGCATCAGCACTTCCATCTCCTCACCCATCACCACTTCACAGCTCTGGACTCCTACAACCTCCTCCACCTCCCCCACCACCTTCTGCTCTTGTGACAGGTTATAATGGAACCTCAAATATTTCCAGTTACAATTACCCACCTGCTGGTTATCCACCTCAGTCATCAGTTGGGTCTGGTTATAGTCCTGGAAGCGCACCTCCTCCTTCGGCCTACCTTCCTTCAGGTATCCCTGCACCTACTCCTCTTCCTCCCACTACTGTCCCAGGCTATAGCTATCAGAGTCATGGTTTGACACCAATAGCACCATCTGCCCTGACCAACAGCTCTGCTAGTTCACTGAAAAGAAAAGCCTTTTACATGGCTGGTCAAGGAGATATAGACTCCAGTTATGGAAATTACAGCTATGGTCAACAGAGAACCTCACATAGCCCCATGTACAGAATGTCTGATACAAGTATATCAAACTCAAATAGGGGAAATGGTTTTGACAGAAGTGTTGAGACTACATCATTAGCTTTTAAGCCTACAAAGCAGCTGGGGCCCTCTGAGCAGCAAAGGAAATTTACCAGTCAGTCCACAAGAGCTCTAACACCACCTTCATATAACAGTTCTAAAAATTCAAGAACAAGTGAAGGTTTTGGAAAATATAATTCCTCTTCAATTAATGAACATAGTGATGAGCATAGACAGCTTCTCCCACATCCACTGCAAGGCACTGGGCTTCACACTGCTACCTCATCCAGCCACTCAGTGGACGAACAGCTGAAAAACACTGACACCCACCTCATTGACCTTGTAAGTAATGAGATAATCAACCAGGGACATCCAGTAGACTGGGATGAAATTGCTGGTCTTGATTTAATTAAGGCTTTCATAAAAGAAGAGGTTTTGTGGCCTGTAATTCGATCTGATGCCTTCAGTGGACTCACAGCTTTGCCTCGGAGCATTCTGTTATTTGGACCTAGAGGAACAGGCAAAACATTATTGGGTAGATGTATAGCTAGTCAACTTGGTGCCACATTTTTTAAAATTTCTGCCTCTAATCTTGTCACAAAGTGGATAACAGAAGGAGACAAAATTGTCCATGCCTCATTTCTTGTGGCAAGGTGTCGACAACCATCAGTGATTTTTGTTAGTGACATTGAGCTGCTTCTTTCTTCCCAAGTGAGCGAAGAACACAGTCCAATAAGTCGCATGAGAACAGAATTTCTTATGCAGATAGACACTGTTCTTTCTTCTGCAGAGGACCAAATAGTTGTAATTTGTGCCACAAGTAAACCTGAAGAAATAGATGAATCTCTTAGGAGATATTTCATGAAAAGACTTTTAATTCCACTTCCAGACAGCACAGCCAGACATCAGATAATTATTCAACTGCTCTCACAGCACAATTACTGTCTCAATGACAAAGAGGTTGCACTCCTAGTCCAGCGCACAGAAGGTTTTTCTGGACTGGATGTGGCTCGCTTGTGTCAGGAAGCTGTGGTAGGTCCTCTCCATGCCATAGCACCCTCAGACCTTTCAGCCATTATGCCCAGCCAGTTGAGGCCTGTCACATATCAAGACTTTGAAAATGTGTTCTGCAAGATTCAACCTAGCATATCTCAAAAAGAACTTGATATGTATATTGAATGGAACAAAATGTTTGGTTGCAGTCAGTGATATTCCTTAAACATTACAAGGAATGTTGGCACATACAAATGGGGAAAAGAGTTCCCTTTCCTGGTGGTGTCCTGATTATTAAAGGTACCTAGACAACCATGATTACCTTGCATCTGAAAAGTCAGGGTAGACTTGAAATAAACTTGCATCAGCCAATGTTCTGATTGAAACCATATGACAAAGAACATACATTGATGTTTAGATCTGTTCAAGCTAGTCAGCACTCCAAAAGAAGCAGAGTGGAAGTGGGTTGACTTTTTGGAAGGACGTGAACCCCATATGTTGATTCCATTCTGCTGTTCTTTCAGATTTAGTTGCTGTCAAGTGCCTGACGTGGTGCTTTATTATATTTTATTTTATTTTTTTATGTTTGTTTGCCTCACAACTACATTGGTGGCATGTGCTAATATAAAGAGCTTTAACTTCAAACATTTAGAGGACTAGAGAAAAAATGTTGTATTGAGAGACAGAAAAGCCAGATTTACCATTTCTAAGCAACAATATTCCTCAATCCTCTCTGTTCTGTAGAACAGGAAACCATAATCTGGACCTTAATTTCAGCAGTTCATTTTTTTAATGTCCTGTCTGCAAAAACAAACAACTAAAACAAACAGCAAACTCAGGAAAGTGATTGATTTGTACAGTACCTCAAAGGAATGTGTTATGTTATGTACTGCTGAAAGAGTAACATGGTAGGCGTCAACAATACATTTATATTGAAATGTATGTTTACCTCAACAATTGGAAAGAGGCATGGACAATTTTGAATGTATTTGGTTGATTCTAAAAGAAAATGGCTAAAGTCTAACCATGGTAAATTGTCCAATGACAGCTATCAAATCTTACTCTAAAACAAGTACCTTCAGCTGGTGTTGGGCAACAGTGACTCTTATCATCTTTGGCCATCTGGAGTTTGATGATAGGAGATATGTTCTTCAACAGGTGAAGATCCTAGATGTGGTTAACCTAACATGGTTTAGACTGTGACTTAAGGCAGTGTTAAACAATAGTCCTTTTAATTATGGTCATAATGTGCAACAATTCTTTTCATATCAGTATTTATTAACTAGTGCAACTGGTAGTCATCAACTGCTTCTTAATAATTAATCAATTCATTGAGGCATGGGGGAACATGCAACTCGATTGTTGATTCTTAAACATTGACATAACTGCCATTATTTAGTTTTTTTTGGCTCATCAGGTGTACAGTATTACCAGTCCTGGAGAAAAGCATATTCATTGTAGATGGGGAAATCATTTTTGTCGAGACACGTTATTTAAAAATTTTCTTTTCAAAATAGTTGATGGAAATTCCAAAAAAAAAAAGAAATTCAGACACCAAAAATGTTTAGGGTTTTTATATATATATATATATATATATATATATATATAGATCCTGAAACATAAACACATTTATCTGTTTCATTCATGTGTGTGTCTGTATCTCAGTATAGTTAAATATATACAGATACATAGATAACTTTCTGAAGATGGTTTCAAGAGCTCTATAATTCAGAAACTTTTTGCATTACTTTCGAAATCTGAGTTCATAATATGCTTTTCTAAAAACTGCTTAAAGAGAGCAGTGCTAAACAACCAAAATACATTAAAATATATTATTTAAAGAAAAAAAAAAGAGCTTGTTTTAATTTGTTTTCTTGTTAGTAATACTGCATCTAGTTGCAATGTTATTTGATCCTGTAGGATCGCACATTTATAAGCTGTTGTGATACCACCTAATGGAGCCACTAAAACATTCTTCAAAGATATAACAACTGCATTCGTGAGTAGCACAAAAGGCTTTCAAAATCTTCAAATCTCTTGTGCTCTTACCGCACATCTCTCAAAAACACTATCCTACAATGCTCTTTTCCAAACTAAAAGATTTAGCTTTAATTGGTAACTCACAAATCCTCCAGGTTGCATTACAATCATATCAACGACACATTGTATTAAAAAAAAAAAATGCCAGTTACATTTTTCTGATTTTCTCTTGGTGATAATCATCAGCTATCGAAGAACAAAATGTTTTCTCTGATTTTTCTATATTAGTTTTAACGAAACAATATGTTTACTGGTAAGTAAATGTTATAATATTCCCCCATCGTGTGTACTGTATAATTTGTCAAGTAATTTCTATGACATTTTTTATTTTTTCACCTTCTCCCATTGTCCTCTGGGCATTTTTTTATGTTGTTCTTTTGCTTTGTTACTGTATTTTTTTTTTGTTTGCTTACCACTCTTGCCATGACAGCCAGTTGATGTTGGCTAGCTTTGCAGACAGACAAGCAGTGTACGGATAACAAAATGCCCCAAATCCTACTGCTGCATAGCCTTTGAATGTATTTTTGTTTGTTTACTTTAATAGAGGCAGTATGAAGCTGTTTCAAAGCACTGGCATTCAATGTACATTTAAGACATGTAATAAATGCACTGAGCGTCCTATCGAACAAAATCCTGTAAATCCTGATTTTTTTTTTAGTTTCTTTCAAAAATGGTTTGGAACATTTCACACATATACTTAAAATGTGTAAGTGTGTGTATGTCAGGGGTGAGGGACTGAGGGTTGGGTATTTGGGATCAGGGAATTTGATGGTTGTAAAAGGCAAAAGTTCTCAGTAGTTAATAAAAACCTTTAACGCCGAGCTCCAAAGAGATAAACAATACATTGCAGCACTAAGTACAGCATTGTGTCCATACCAGTTGAACAACACAATCTTTGTTTTACTGTAAAAAACGTGACTTTGTAATAGCTTATATCATTCATCGTTTCGGGAATTGCATAAAAATTCTTGCAGAGACCAAACCTTTTAACCTTTTTCAATACTGGATGGAGAAGCTTATCTTTCTGGTAATGAAAAATCAACCAATTGAGTGCCAGGGATCTGCCATACATTTTTCAAAGTAATATGTTGGGCACACTTCTGGAATGCAACGGTTTAAATTGTGGTGTGTTGTTGCAGAGGACTAACCAATAGCAGTGTTCCCTTATTGTTGTTTAGTTGAATTGCTGCACTACTCATAAAATATTCTGGATAAATGTTAAGTATGATCTGTTAAGAAATAAAAAAAATCTTTAAAAAAACAAACAAACAATATTTTCTTGCAACCAAAAATGGAATGAAGTGGCAATTTATACAGGTTTAAATATGTTTCTTTTATGATTTAAGATCAATATTCAGAGTAAAAACTGATATGTACACATACTCTTGTTTGAACCTTATATACAAAACTTGACAAAAGCATTCTATTCACAATACATGGTAATGTACCTGTAAATTATACAAACTACATGTAAATAAAATATGATCTGTTAAAATTCACATAGTTTGACAATTATTGAATTGCTTTACTTTATAATGAAAACAATTGTGCTTGAAACTTATCCAGTCTGTACAGATTTCTGGGCTTGTATATATATATATATATATATATATTTATATATATATATATATATATATGTGTGTGTGTGTGTGTGTGTGTGTGTGTAATTTTATTTTTTATTCCTTTTTTAATTCAATTATTTACATTTTTTATTTTATTTAAAACTTTATTTTAATCAGCACATTACTCTAATACACTAAACATTAACCTCTACACTAAATATTAATATTTTATTTTAACACAACCTTACCTTAATCACCACTTCCCTCATGCACTAAACATTAAAGGGACACTATAGTCACCAGAACAACTACAGCTTATTGAATTTGTTCTGGTGAGTCGAATCATTACCTTCAGGCTTTTTGTTGTAAACATTGGCTTTTCAGAGAAAATGCAGTGTTTACATTACAGCCTAGTGATAACTTCACTGGCCACTCCTCAGATGGCTGTTAGAGATCCTTCCTGGGTCATGGCTGCCTAAAATGCATCCAAACATTCAGTATCCCCTCCCTCTGCATGCAGACACTGAACTTTCCTCATAGAGATTCATTGATTCAATTCATCTCTATGAGGAGATGCTGCTTGGCCAGGGCTGTGTTTGAATCATGCTGGCTCTGCCCCTGATCTGCCTCTTTGTCAGTTTCAGCCAATCCTATGGGGAAACACTGTGATTGGATCAGGCCACCACTTCCGATGATGTCATTAGACTGCTTGTTTTTCTGAGTCAAACAGCATGCAAATTTACAGCTTCAGGCTTGAATACAGTAAGATTTTGCTATATTTATGGAGGTATGAAGGGCCCAGGGGGGCTAGATGGTGGTGTTCACACTATAGGGTCAGGAATACATGTTTGTGTTCCTGACCCTATAGTGATCCTTTAACATTAACCTCTTCACTACACTACACTAAATACTAACCATGTCACTACACTGTAATTAATATCAATCCCTGCCCTACAATCATATTACATTAAAGCAAAGCATAAACCCCTACGGTACTCCAAAGTTAATCTTTTTCCCCTCCTTTCCCTTAAAACATAAACAAACTCTAGCCTATAAAAACCATGTAATCTAATGACTTACAATGACGAATTGTCGAAAAGTAATACTATTTGTGAGCTCTGGAGACATTTAGAAGGTTTATTTAAACGTAGATTGTAAGGTACTTATAAGGTTATTTATGAAATTTCCTGAAACAATTCATGGCATTATTTTCCAATAATACATTGTCCTCCAATTTTACCATTATGTAATATAATACATTCTATATAAATGCACAGCATGTATGGGGTATTGCAATGTCTCTAAAAAAAACCACACACACATACCTGAATTTTACTTCTGATTGCAACCATACAGCTTAGCACCAATTTATTAAAGGGACATGCATCACTTGACAATTCTTTTTTTTTAACCAACAAACACTTTAAAATAAATATACAAACCAAAACAAAAGCTAGAAAAATTTAAAAAGTATGTATTATGTGATTATAAACTTGGTCAGATTGCATTATTAGGCACGCCTCTCAGCTAGGGAAGTTTTCCACTTACAATTGCATGTGTAAATCTGTCAGGCATGCCCGATTCTCTTCCCTAGCAGTCCTAGGGATAGGACACTGATTGGTTAGATTAGTAGATTAGTATACGCCCGGAGTTGGATGTGGAAAGGATACAAAAGAAGCAGCAGGTAAATGTAAAGCAAATCACTACCTGATTTTTGTAGCCTGCGGAGTGATACAACTGGCTCATTGTACAATGTAAATTGTATGTAAATGTTATCAAAACATGCTCTTTCATTCACCAAATATGACTGACTGCAAATCCTTTAGGGATTGCTTTGCTCAACCCATAGATCATCTAAATCTGTCAAATTAGCATACTTGTCAGCTATCCAGTTATGGTGCTTAGATTGCTCTTTAAATTGCATAAGAGGAGTAATTTTACTTAATTTTCAATAGTACCTGCCAAATTACTCTGGCCACAGTAATATAAACAAATCAAGAAATATTCTCATTCAAAGCTATTTTTTATTTAATGAACATCACATTGCAATTTTTGAATATATGTTTTCACTTTCTGTTTTGTTTTGTTTTGTTTCATAATGCAAATACATTTGCTCAGGAACAAACACTGAACAATTAAAAAACAATAATTTCTTTATTAAAAATTCACATGCATTAATACAAATATGTATATTTAATGATTTTAATTAAGTTTCTGGTTCCATTTAAAAATACAGGTCAAACTTTTTCGAAATGTGGCCAATATTTTACATATACAGTCAGAGTATGTGTATTAAGTATAAAACATTGATATAATTTGCATAAAAATATTTTGCATACTCTAGCAAGTTCAGTACATAAAGTCTGCATTGCTTCTTTGTCTACTTTTTTTGCCATGAACTGCGCCAACTGACCTGCCCTTATAAATTATATACCTCTTAGTTAGCCATATTTTAGCTTGTTTGGTAACCAAAATGAATCTTATAATTCAATAAATATGCTCTATTAAGCCCCTTACAATGTACACCATAATGAGTGCAGTGTTTAATAATCATAACCAAATAATTGTGGAGGAATTTTGATGGGAGATACCCAGGACTCTTTAATCAATCAATAAGGTAACAGGTCCAACCATCAAAGTCAACTGGTCTTTTCAGAATTTAGCAGAACCATTCCATAAGTAGACCGTGTCAAGATATTTTGAAAGGAGGTCCATAAAAGTGGAAAAACTGATTGTGTAGATGTTTGTGTCTTACAAATCCATCACATTTCCTAATAATGTTTACACTGCAGGGTTAGGCCTGCTTCCAGTGGTTGTCTACCAGTTATCCACTAGATGTGCTTCATGGTCTTCCACGGAGGTTTGACTCCATGAAAAAATGCTGGATGTCCTCAAACTTTGCATGAGGAGGTCCAGTGTCTTCTAAATTCCCACAGGCCTATGAGGAAGGCCTAATAAGTGTATGGCACTTGCTGCGCATGCACATTAGGTTCGACTGTCGGCTGACGTTAGAAGAGCCCAACCCAGCGCCAAGATCAGCGCTGGAATCAGGTAAGTGTAAAAAGGGTTATTCAATTTACAATATAATACATTTCCTGAATACATATACTGCATTCATAGACACATCACTTCCAATAGTATTGTTTTAGATCATTATATTTGCTTTTCCAGTTATAAGCTCCTAAGAAAAAAGGAAAACCAGGGTGGGAGAGAAGGAAAGGTGAATTTGATTCCAAAATTCTGTCTGTTTGTAAGATGGACAGTTGAGAGGTCCCATAGACAGAAGAATGCTGAGTTAGAAAAACTGCAGCAGCAGTCATAGTCCACACTTAATATGCAGTAGATTTGGCTACCGACTGATGTCAGAAGAGCCCAATCCAGCACTGAGGTCAGCACTGGAATCAGGAAAGTAAAAAAAGGATTATTTAAAGGAACACTATAGAGTCAGGGAAACAAACATGTATTCTTGACACTATAGTACAATGCAGCCTCCCTGGTCCCACTTACCCCCTAAATATAGTAAACTCTTACTTCTATTCAAATCTGCAGCTGCTGCCTTTGCCCCTGATCTGCCTGCTTGGCTGCTTGGCTGACATCATCAGAAGTGATTCTCTGAGCCAATCACATGGCTTTCCCATAGGATTGGCTGAGACTGTCAAGAAGGCAGATCAAGGGCAGAGCCAGCACAAGTCAAACACAGCAATGGCCAATCATCATCTCCTTGTAGACATGCATTGAATCAATGAATGAGGAAAGTTCAGTGCCTCCATGCAGAGAGTGTGGAGTGTGAATGGCACTGCTGCGCTGCCCCAGGAAGCACCTCTAGTAGCCATCTGAGGAGTGGCCAGTGGAGGTATCCCTAGGCTGTAATGTAAAAACTGCATTTTCTCTGAAAGGACAGTGTTTACTGCAAAAATGTGTGAAGGGAATGATTACACTCACCAGAAATAAAATAAGCTGCAGTTGTTTTAGTGACTATAATGTCCATTTAATTTGCAGTTGTTTTAGTGACTATAATGTCCATTTAATTTACAATACAATACATTTTCTGAATACATTTACTGCATTCATAAACACATCACTACCAATAGTATTACTTTAGATCAATATATTTGCTTTTCCAGTTATAAACTCCTAAGAAAAAAGGAAAACCAGGGTGGGAGAAAGGAAAGGTGAATCTGAGCCAGAAAATTTAAGATGGACAGTTGAGAGGTCCCATAGACAGAAGAATGCAGAGTTAGAAAAAGTGTAGCAGCAGTCATAGTCCACAAAAAAAGTCCTATTTATTAAACTCATATAGAGTTGTGTTAAGACGTAAAGCAACCGCCACAAAACCCCTGTAACATCCAAGGACCCATATCTATACTATATGACCGATAGAACTAATCATAAAAAGCATATTTTGCTGATATCATAGAAGGAGGTGACAAAATAACCCACACTAGTTTATTTATACCTGCACAAGGTAATATTAAATAGAAAAGAGAATAAAGAAATTACAATTTATTCTGTTCTTTTATGTAAACATTACGTACATAAATTGTAAATTTTATAGAATGTCTGAGCTGTAACTTAAAATTAACCTGTAATTGAAAAAAAAAATCATATTTTATATATCAAGGTTGTTTTCTAAAGTGAATTTAAAAAAAATAATTTAAAAGTGATTTTCATATTTAAACCCTCTAAATATGAAATTCACTTTGAATTTATTTTCTAAATACATGTCATGCCCCAAATAATTTATGCTTATTAGATTAAGCATACAATTATATCTATACATTGTAGTAGCTGTTTTCTAGCAAATGCATAGATTAGAAGAAAAAAGTCAATGCCTCTCCTAAGCATAGCAACCACAGCACATGCGCACTCTACAAGCGCCAGCTAGGGAGTATAGTAACCATAGGCGTGTGCAGCCTATTGCATTAGTATGTGCACCCTAAAGCACAAGCACACGCCGCGTGTATATGTATGTATGTATGTGTATATATATATATATATATATATATACACACACACAAACATACACTGCTGTGTGTGTATGTGTGTTGTGTGAGGGTGCTGTTAGTGTGATGTGTGTGAGGGTGCTGTTTGTGTGTGAGGGTGCTGTTTGTGTGCTGTGTGTGAGGGTACTGGTAATGTGCTGTGTGTATGTTTGTTAGGGTCCAGTTAGTGTGCTGTGTGAAGGTGATGTGTGTGGGTGTTGTGTGCTGTGTGAGGGTGCTGTGTGTGTGCGAGGGTGCTGTTTCTGTGCTGTGTGTGGGTATTGTGTGTTTGTGAGGGTACTGTTATTGTGCTGTGTGTGTGAGTATGCTATTTGTGTGTTTGTGAGGGTGCTGTTAGTGTGCTGTGTGTGAGGATGCTGTGTGTTTGTGAGGGTGCTGTTAGTGTACTGTATGTGTGAGGGTGCTGTGTGTGTGTGAGGGTGCTGTTTGTGTGCTGTGTGTGAGGGTACTGGTAATGTGCTGTGTGTATGTTTGTTAGGGTCCAGTTAGTGTGCCGTGTGAAGGTGATGTGTGTGGGTGTTGTGTGCTGTGTGAGGGTGCTGTGTGTGCGAGGGTGCTGTTTCTGTGCTGTGTGTGGGTATTGTGTGTTTGTGAGGGTACTGTTAGTGTGCTGTGGTAGTGTGAGTATGCTATTTGTTTGTTTGTGAGGGTGCTGTTAGTGTGCTGTGTGTGAGGATGCTGTGTGTTTGTGAGGGTGCTGTTAGTGTACTGTATGTGTGAGGGTGCTATGTGTGTGAGAGGGTGCTGTGAGTGTGAAGGTGCTGTGTGTGAGAGGGTGCTGTATGTGTGTGTGTGCTGTATGTATGTGTGTGTGTGCTGTTTGTGTGTGTGGGGGTGTGCTGTTTGTGTGTTGTATGTGTTGTGTGTGCTGTGTATGTGTGTGCTGTGTGTGTGAAGGTGCTGTGTGTGTGAGGGTGCTGTATGTGTGTGGGTGCTGTATGTATGTGTGTGGGTGCTGTGTGTGTGTGCTGTTTGTGTGTTGTATGTGTGTGGGTGCTGTGTATGTGTGCTGTATGTGTGTGTGGGGGTGCTGTGTGTGAGTATGCTGTTTGTGTGTTTTTGAGGGTGCTGTTAGTGTGCTGTGTGTGTGTGTGCTGTATGTTTGGGTGATTTGTGGGGGTAGAGGTGGGGGCAGATTCTTACCTTTTGTAGGGAGGGGGGACTGTACTGCTGCCTTCCCTGGTGGTCCAGTGGAGGTGGGGGCAGATTACTTAATATCCCCCCTCCCTTCTTACATTATGTAGGGAGGGGGGATCCTTCCTGCCATGTGCCATTCCTGGTGGTCCAGTGGAGAGTGAACTCTAGCCTGCGGGGTTGCCACGGCAACGCTCAGATCTCGCGAGAGGAACCCGGCGGAGCTGCTGGCTGGAGCTCCCCAGGTCCTCTCCTGCCTCCCTCCATGCTGCTGTAGGCTTATTGAGGCTTAGAGCAGAGCCGGCACTCAGATCTCCCCTGCCGGTCTCAAACCATAGGCGTGTCGCAGGGATTAGGGTGTGTACAGGCACACCCGCCACACCCCGTGCGCAAGCCTATGATAGTAACCCTTTCCTTTACTTACATGATTCCAGCGCCGAAGTCCCTGTGCTTTATCGGATTCTTCCTCCGCCACTGGAAGGACATAATGCACATGCGCAGAAAGTGCCTCTCGCACATTAGGTCTTCCCAATATGAAAGCACTGATTCAATGCTTTCCTATAGGGATTTAGATAATGCTGGACATGCAATGCGTCAAACTCCATGAATGGCAAGAAAGTGACTTTAGTGGCTGTCTGGTAAATAGCTGGTAAATAGCTGTCTGGTAAATAGGCTGCTTTAACCCTGCAATGAAACATTGCAGTTTCTATGAAACTGCAATGTCTGCTGCTGCAGGGCTAAGGGGGACAGGGACAGTCCACCCAGACCACTTGAGATGAAGTAATCTCGGTGCCTATAGAGTCCCTCTAGTTTTGGTCTAAAAGGAACTTTATTCACTCATGCAATCACCCAAATCCATGCCTTTTTTTTTTAATGAATTTAGCATTGTCTCCATGCAAATGCATGGTCAAGAAGCTTTAAAAAAAAATGTCAGTTTATTTTTTGAACCACACTATTTGAAATACATATGTAATTAAAATGTTTTTTGAATATATAAAAGGGTGCCTATTTTATAGAGACTTTTACTGTCAATGTGACCTTGTAGGAAACTTCACATTTATTTAACCCCTTAAGGACCAAACTTCTGGAATAAAAAGGATTCATGACATGTCAAGCATGTCATGTGTCCTTAAGGGGTTAATGTATATATTTTTAATGCACTCAATTTTCAACCTGCCCTCACAATAAAGTATTAATTCCTAGTAATGCACATAAAGGGTGAATTTTACTCCACACCTTGGTGGACTATGTATTAGAGAGTATAGTATAGAGAATAAGTTGTCATAAGTTAAGTATGTTCTTGTTCCTAAACTCATGTGTACACTTGCTGAACAATATAATGCTTCTTAGTAAATAGAACCAACAAACCGTAAAACATAACTACCAAAATTGCTGCTGATGATTTTATCCTGCTATACTACTTTACTATTACTGGTGCCACGACTGCTCACACCATATGTAGTTTATGGTAAATGCTGAACAGAATGCTATTTATTTAACAGGATTGTTTTAAGAATATTAGTCATGTCCTGGCCTATGCAGCTGCAGATTTGCCTCAGTCAAGGGAAAATTAGAAGTTTGTTTTTCTTTACATTAACATTTTTATTTGTTTTAACATTATACCTTTTGCCATTCTAGCCTTAAAGGAATGCTACAGGGTCAGGAGCACAAACATATATTCCTGGCACAACTGTGTTAAAAACACTATCTAGCCCCTCTGCCCCCTCCCCTTTCTCCCCTAAATATAGTAAAATAGTATCTGTATTCCAGTCTGCTGCTGCTGGCTCCGTCCCTAATCTGCCTACTTATCTGACATCATCAGAAGTGTTGTCCAAAGCCAATCACAATGCTTTCCCACAGGAAAGCATTGGATTGGCTAAGATTGCCAAGGAGGCAGATCAGTGGCAGAGCTAGAACAAGTCAAATGCAGCACAGGCAAATCAGCATCTCCTCATAGAAATGCATTGAATCAATGACTCTCTGTGAGGCAAGTTCAGTGTCTCCATACAGAGGGTGGAGACACTGAATGTCAATGTAGCACACTGTGCATCACTGTCCCAGGAAGCACCTCTATGAGTAGTGGCCAGTGGAGGTATCTCTAGGCTGTAATGTAAACACTAAATGTTCTCTGAAAAGACTGTGTTTACTACAAAAGGTCTGAAGGGACTGATTATACTCACCAGAACAATAACAATAAGCTGTAGTTGCTCTGGTGACTATAGTGTCCATTTAATCATTTCTTTCTTTTTGAAAGTGTATATTTAACGCACCGTGACTCACTTCTAACTTAATAAGCACTCAAATAGATATAATGAACATGAATTAATTTCACACTCAGCATTAGAAATAAAATGCTTATAAACTGACAAAAAATCTGCCACATTAGTGCAAATTCAGAATCTTACACTATAAGGACACTTGATTCTTACATTCCCCTTAGTATTATGTGTAAATCAAGAATATTCCATATTAAATGAACTAGTTTCTTAAAAAATAACACTGCCAGTCTTAACATCTGCCATATCAATAGTCAAAGGCAATTAAGCTGAGAGAAGAATAGAGTGTAAATCCCAAAGTTTCATGTATGTTTAATAGGGGTTATATGGGTCAGAAACAAAGTGTTGTGTGAAAATATTTAAATCACCCTTCAAGCATAGGGTTGTAAGGCATATATCTTCAACTGTTGATAAACTATAACAATTCCTTAAACAACTTGTGCCCATCAAATCTGCAGATGAATGTTGTACAAAAGATATGATTTCCACTACCCTGGGAGTTAACTGCTGCCAATGATCTTGAATGTCAAATTCATCAACATTTGAGAAAGGAAGACAGATACTCTTGATTTAAATTAGTGTCTGAAGATTTGTTCGGAGGCACTAAGTTTTACCAAAAATAGGGGGGTTAAGGAGGAGATTCATCAAGTCAAAAACAGGTGCTATTCTGCAACAAAGTGCTAATTAAGGAGTAATCACTAGCAAACCAATATAGCATCTCACACCAAGAATTTGTAGTCTAAAGGGTTACCCCAACCACCATGACCACTTCTGCTTTTAGTCCTCACTCACTCCCTCCTCTCCAAGACTAAGGGTGCCTACTTGCACTCTGAGCTGGTGAAACAGTACAATCAAATGTTTCTGTATAAAAAGTGTTTCATTGGACATTGGAGAGGGAAGGAGTGATGTCAGATGGGGTGTGCAAACCAGAACAATAAATTTTAGAAATTGTATGCAGCCAATGGGAGCCAAGAAGATTATTAATTCAGTCTACCACTTACTCTATGCAATTCTATCAATATACTTTACTTTATTCAATCAAAACAACTACTGAAACATCCCTACCAACTCAATACGATGCATACACTCAAAGGGTCTGTTAAATATAGAACATTTAGCAAGTGTTTAATGATAAATTGCTATTATCTTAATATACTTATATGTGTAACAGAATATGATTGCTACAATTGCAATGGACGTGAAACAGGTTAATTATCCAGTCTTGTGCGCCATTGTATCCTTTGCAATGATATGGTTTTCAACAAACAATAGAAATCAGCTTGATTGTTTGTTTTATGGTAAAAGAATATACTACTTATATGAAAATGTATATAATATTAACAAAAATCCTGAGATGTAAGAGCATATCTAAAACAAACATAGCATGAAAGGCAACATAATCTTAAAACCAAATAGAAAGCTTCCCAAAGTTCCAACAGTTTAAGGCAGGGGTGCCCAAAAGGTATATCCCCAGATGTTTTAAAACTACAACTTCCATGATGCTTTTTTGTTCTAAAGACATTCTAAAGGCATGCAAAGCAACATGGGAGTTGTAGTTCTGCACCATCTTGTGATCTACCTTTTGGGCACCCCTGATTTAAGGCATAAGAAATCTGTACATGTCAATGCTTTTTTATAGTGGATAGTGTTTGGATGTTTAATATATTTTTGTTGTTAATGAAAAAAAAACCAACTTGTTTTATTGCTATTCTTGTTTAACCATTTATTACAACATGTATTTTTTCTTAAAGGAGCACTGTAGGGTCAGGAACACAAACATGTAAAACAACCATCTTGCCCCCCTGGTGCCCTCATGCCTCCCTAAATCTAGTAAAATCTTACTTCTATTTAAGTCTGGAGCTGCTTGTTTTGTCACTGTTTCTTTTGACATGCCCACTGCCTGATGATATCAGCAGAAGTGGTGGCCTGATCCAATCACAGTGCTTCTCCAGTGCTTGGCTGAGACTGACAAGTAGGCAGATCAGGGGCAGAGCCAGCACAATTCAAACACAGCACTGGCCAATCAGCATCTCCTCATAGAGATACATTAAATAAATGAATCTCTATGAGGAAAGTTCAGTGTCTGCATGCAGAGGGAGGAGACTATGAATGTTTGGATGCATTTTAGGCAGCCATGACCCAGGAAGAATATCTAACAGCCACATGGGGAGTGGCCAATGAAGTTATCACTAGGCTGTAATGTAAATACTGCATTTTCTCTGAAAAGACAGTGTTTACAGTAAAAAGCCTGAAGGTATTGACTCTACTCACCAGAACAAATTCAATAAGCCGTAGTTGTTCTGGTGACTATAGTGTCCCTTTAAGCCCAAGCTTTAAACAACTTGAAACTATAATGTTATTTCAGGAGTTGAAAGTTTGCAATCTTTTGCACTCTAAAATGCTTCAGTACTTCATGGGATTGAAAGCATTTATTTCCATGTCATTATTAAATCTCACGTTCCAGCAGTTGATAATCAGACTGGACATGTCTACACCGCTTCTATGACCATGGTAAACCAAAATATAGGACATGTTTCAATACCTGCTTTTAGTATCAATTTAGTCATTGTTTTTTTGAGTCTTTACTTAGCCCTGCATAATCTCTTAGTGGTGGATGGATGAACTATAGCCAGTTAACTGACATTAAATTCAACTCCCACAACCCTTTGCAAGTCTTAAATGCAAGACTAGAAACATAGATGGTACATGCCAACAACAGCAAAATGGCAGTCGAACAATCCAATTGTAGTGCATTATGTATACAAACAAGTAATAAAGTGTAAAGAGATGGCTATTGTAAGGTATTGTGTTTTGTGGTATACCCACAATGTACTCCATCTTATTTATATTTACAAATCTTGGCAATTTGCACTCTGTTTCCTGTTTGTTCAGTGTTCCTGTCCAAATACACAAACAAAAGATGTATACTTTTGACACACTTCAAATGTCAATGCTTTAGTCTTTCCAGTGTTTAAGATATGCGCACAGTTTAACCACATCATTGCAAGTATTGGTAACTTTTTGCTAATTAGCAGACATACAGACATAGGTCTTACCAGGACCCTGTTTTCATCATTTCATCATGTCCTTAAAAGCTAAAGGTTAGAAATATCTGTACATGAGCCTTTAGCGCTTATCTACAGCTTTTTAAAATGTGAATCAGCGTATATTTATTTGCTCTGCTATTTTAAAATTATGTTTTATTGGTTTTTTTTTGGTTTTTTTTGCATCTGCTGCAACTAAATGTATCATCATTGCACTCATTAAAAATGAAACAGTCCATTTCTCTTTGGGGGAAAAACAGACACGCTTTAGATGATGAAAGCTTAAATTATCCATCACTTGCAAAATGAATTCATATAATTTGTGGACATTATTAATGTAAATGAGACATTTCTGCTTAGATTTTTATGTTGATGGAATCATTATATGATTGATCATGTGTGTGTAGAAAGCCGCTGTACAATTAACTTGGAAATCTGAAAATGCTTTTTGTCTTTGCTACAGTTTCAATTGTAATCCACTGCATCTTATTTTCTTAAGTGTCTGCACTGTAATATTAAATTGAAATCAGTGCTCAATATTGTAACTAACTGTCCCTACTGAATATCACTTTTCATAAATACTTGCTACCACTGGGAGAATATGTATTACATATAAGATTAACTAGTTTCAATAGAAACCCCCAACAAAAAAGCAAAAAAAAATAAAAAATAAAAATTAAATAAAAAAATTAAGTGGTTGAAGGCAGATATTTTTATGAAAAGTTTTCTCTATTGTAATGTTTGTTGTATATGGCTATGCTACTATCCTGAAATAAGAAAAGAACAAGCATACCTCAAATAAAAACAACCCTGAGCTAAAAATATATTGATTGTATTATTTGTACTGAATTCTTATATATTCACATTCAACTGTCAATCACACTATCGTTTGTTATGTAAATTAATATTAGCAGCCGATGAGTGCACACAGACGAATAAAGATCACATTTTATGAATGCATTTCCTTTTTCTATTCCCCTTGGTTAGAGTACTCGTGTGACAGTGTTTAAAGTGAAACTATCATTAACAATTTATAATCCAATGATCATTTAAACAGTACCTTAAAGGGAAACTATCAGGATTTTTTCAACCCTCATCAGTGTCTTAAAGGTATATACTCACATCAAAAACAAAATGTGCTGCTGTAATTTCATTTTTAAATAAAACACAATAAATAAAGCAAATAAAAAATATAAATTTTTTTAAATAAGGTTAGTTGCTCAATATAAGGTTTTATGGCTTGAAGTTAAATCTGTAAAGAATTCTCACTTTTCACAAAGCCTCGTGGCTTCTTTACTAGGCGTTAATACGAATACAAGACTACATTTTCATCTAAGGTTAAAATAAAATTAAATATAGGTATTTAAAAATGATACAGGGGTGCCCCTATTATTATACAGGTGTGTGTACACTGTGAACTCAGTGGGAGAGACTTATCTGTTGCTTCTTTTATACTCTAACCATAATTTTTTAATATATGCAATTTTTTCATCCACCAATCTTTCACAAAAAAAAATAATTCCAAACAAAAGTGTCGTTTGTCACTTCTTTTCTTTTTTTGCCATTCTATATGTGGAGTTTTTTTCCCAAACTAGATAATTTTCTGAAAAACGGCTGAATTCAGGCATAGAAATGCTGAATATGTTTATAACATTTTTATAACAATTTAATAAATGCAGATGGATTAGACCAATAATAAAGGACACTTTTCAGAACAGTTTGATAAAACAAATACCCTAATATCTTGACTTCTATTTATTTTCATCCACGGTCACCATTTTCCCACTCTCCCATTAATAAATTAGTACCTCCAATAGGGATTTGCTATGCTAACAGTTCGAAAGGCAACTGTTTCTTCTCTACACACTCCCCGGCCCAATGATAAAAGATGCCTTCTTCAACGCCTTAAACCTACAGATCAGGGTTAGGCAACCTTTGACACTCCAGTTGCTGTGGACTACACTTTGAAGAGGTCCTGCTGCGCCCCCTAGTGTTGTTAACCAATTACAGCCCTACAAAACAGAAGAGTATGCTGCATGCAAAGCCTCTGTTAGAGGTCTATACCCTGAAAGTTTTTAGTTTTTTTTCATAAACGTCCAAAAATATTAATATGATTAATTTGTGGCTTCACAGCAGCATCTCGATACAGGTAGAGAAAACTGCAGATATAATCATGACAGACACAATATGTTTTTTTCCAACACACACTCATCATTAGTGCACAAATGATAGGTTGGTGCTGCCCCACTTGTCTCGATGGACTGGCATTCACTGAGTTTTTTTACAATAGATATTGAAGATAGGCATGAAGATGAGGCAGAAAATGAAAATAATTTATTACATTAAAATTGTTTAATATATGTTTTTAAACACATTTTGGTAGCATATCTTCTCTACATAGCTTTTAAAACAGTTATGTTACACCTAGAACATACAATAATATCAGTGGTAATACTGAAATATATGAAATTTCTATACCTTTATTGAACAATTGATTTTTTTCTAAGATATTGCATACTTACATCAATTAAAAGGTGAGGTCAGGCAGGTTAAAGGACCACTACAGGCACTCAGACCACTTCAGCTTAATGAAGTGGTCTGGGTGCCTGGTCCAGCTAGGGTTAACCCTTTTTTTTAATAAACATAGCAGTTTCAGAGAAACTGCTATGTTTATAATAGGGTTAATCCAGCCTCTAGAGACTCTAGTGGCTGTCTCATTGACAGCCACTAGAGGCGCTTGCGTGCTTCTCACTGTGAAAATCACAGTGAGAAGACACCAGTGTCAATAGGAAAGCATTTACAATGAACTGGCTGAATGCGCGCGCGGCTCCTGCTGCGCATGCGCATTCAGCTGATGACGTCGCTATGAAGGAGGAGAGGAGGAGGAGAGCTCCCCGCCCGGCGCTGGAGAAAGGTAAGATTTTAACCCCTTCCTCTCCCCAGAGCCCGGTGGGAGGGGGACCCTGGGGGTGGGGGCACCCTCAGGGCACTATAGGAAAATGAGTATGTTTTCCTGGCACTATAGTGGTCCTATAAAAGAGTCTTTATCCCAATCAATTAATAGCTTCCCCAGTGACAATGTATCATATATCATTTTGCCTATAGAATACTGCGTGACTTAACACATGATCCTTAAGGGGTGCATGTTTGCTATAAAAGGCTTCTCCACAGCAGCAGCATTGTGACCTTAAGTAAGGTGTTTGTCAAACTCAATCTTTGGAGCTTATCAGTCGCAGATCTGGATATGCAACCCAGACTAGTATTGATGAAGAGTGCGTTTATTTCCAATTTACTATGTAATATGATAGTACTAATATTGCATACATCAATTAAATAAATCATATTTTGTTAAGACAAATGTATCTCAAGTGATAATTTATCATTTAACCAGGTCTGGACTGACCATCGGGAAAAAACGGGTAAATGGCTAGGGCACTGCACCTCAAACACACACACACACACACACTGAATCCCAAGCACACACACTGCACTATTTATGCACACACACACGTACATTGCACCTTTCAGACACACAAACACACACATCTTTGCACACCTCACACACTGCATCCCCACCAACTTCACCCCTCACACTCACACTGCACCCATCATACACACTGCACCCTTCACACACTGTACACCCTTTACACGCTGCAACCCCTTAAACACACAGTGCACCCCTCACACACACACACAGTATACCCCTCACACACAAACACATTGCACCCTTCACAGGCACACACACTGCAGCCCCTATGCACGCACTAGCTACATCCCCTATACACTAGCTCACTCTCTATAGCCCCTAGCCACACATATTACACCACAAACACAACTGAAACCGACACTTACACAAAACACACCACAATCAACTCACTCTGCAAACACGCAATTCCAAAGCGTACTCCAAACACATGCACAATATGCGTCCCTCGTCCTATTGTCCTCTTGTATCCCACTTATGTACTGCGCTGAGCAGAACAAACACCAGACCTTTTTCCATGTGAGAGCTCTTCAGCGGGCTCTAAGCATGGGTTGCCCTGGAAGAGCATTGAACCAACAGATTTTCACTTTCAGATGCGGTATGCTTATCATTGTTGTTGACAAAACACCCCCCTCAACCCCACCTCCGCCCCCCCCCACCTTCACCCCCTACTCAGTGGGCCACTGTGATTCAAAAATTCCTGGGCCAAATTTGTTTCACTGTCCGGCCCTGAATATTTTGTTTTTGTTTTTAATGACAGGTGGAAAAAAATGTATATTAAAAATAAATTACTTCCTTAGACAAATGTTGTTTTATTTCTAGTAAGCACCATTTAAAAATATATATGGATAGATTTTGCCAGACAGTGAAATACATGATACTAAAGAAAAATGTGAATTGATTCTATATGACATTTGCGTCAATATAAATCTTATCAATATAAATCTCAAATGATCGTATTTTATATAAACTTATATTTCTATAAACAGCTCTTGTTATGGCATACAATTAGCTATATTTTTATATATATATATATATATATATATATATATTTATTTTTTTATTATTATTATTTTTTTTTCACAGTAATTCTTAAAAGTTTTACTAGCAAACCAATAGTTTAGGCATAGTTACCACAAAAAGAGCATAACATATCAATTTTGTTTATATAATTATTTCAGAAACCCAGATAAACACAATTATGTAAATAGGTAAATTGATTTTATCTTAAATTCACAGTCTGTATTATACATCAGCCTTTCTTTTTTGGTTACAGATAGTATGTGTGACAAAAATAGACATAAATATATATCCTCCTTCTTTATGAATATATGTAAGAACTCTAATGTCACATTTAAGGAATGAAGAATCCCCAAAATTCCAGCAAAAAGTAAAAATAACATCTTAAAAATAACATCTTAATGTAAGCATTATGCTCTCAATACAGGCACACCTTACAGGGATTTATAGGCTACAACCTGCAGATAATCTCTGAAGTGCAGTCAATATGTTCAGAACACTTTAGCTTCCCCCTCCATGTTTGTTAGAATGCAATAAAG